TAAGAAATGCTTTTAGGAAATGTCATTTTTCTAATTTTTAAGATACAAACATGTTACTTCCATTTATAACTTTCAAATAATAAGTAAAAGTATTCTTTATATCCAGAGACCTCTTTACAAAGAACATTTTGACAATTCAAGGAAAATCCTATGCAACCACATAGTACGATCTTGTATTTATAAAACATTTTTTTGCTACATAAGTTATTTGCTTTATTTTTAAACAATGTTTAAATTGCAAAAGTAATGTGTCAGTATTAAAGAATGTTCAGGCCATTTAGAAGAATACAAGGAAAAATTAACATTTCTCTTCTCTTTCTCCCAACAACTCATCCCACTCCCAAAGGATAAAGCTTGCATATCCTTCCAGAAAACCACATATGTCATACATAAATTATATACATCATGTTTGTGTATATACAGTATATAGTTATTGAAAGATCAAATAGGATAATACGATACATGATGTTCTGTACCCTGCTTTTTCCACAACACTATGTGTGGACAGGAGCCTTAAAAGTCTATCTCAAAATACCTCTTTTTATCACAGCATAGTATTCCTTAGTGGGAATGTGCTATAATTTAACCAGTCCCATCTGATGAGTACTGCAACTTATTTCCACTGCAACAAATATTGCTGTCTATATATTGTAACATGCTAGCACAAGTATTTCTGAAAGATAAAGTCTAAGAATTGAAAATACTGAATAAAAGGGTAGGCGTGTTGTAAATTTTTTCTGGGTATTAACAAATGGCCCACCCCAAAATATACAATTCTCCTCACTTCCAGTAACTGTGTCCTAATGCATTTTAAAACTACGGCAGGCCGCTACTGAACAAAACTCAAGTAGTAAAGCCTGCCAAAGAATCACAAAGCCTAAAATGAGAATGGGAACTAATATTTACCAAGTGCTTAAGTGTTAGACACTGCTCTTGACCCTTCAGAATATCTCAAGAACACAGCAATTCTGTGAGGTAACATAATCTCCATTTTCCAAAAGAGGAAGCTAAGGCTCAGATTGTTTATCCAATGCTACACAGTTTAATAAGTAACAGCCCCAGCATTTGAACCCAGGGATATCTGGTACCAAAGTGAGACCATACAGAATCTGCTCGCAACTGGGGCCAAAGTAAGGGGCTCTTAAAGGGGAGACTCCTGATTAACCAGGAAGGAGACAATTCCAAAATGTTTGCTCACAGGTTCAAATGTTAATTTCATGTTACCACAGAGTCATCTTTTCCCCCTTTGGACTTTGCCTATGAGCCCACTCTCAGGCTGTGCTTAGGAATCCAGGTCCACCACAATAACAATGAGCCCACAATCCACAGAACCAGAGAGGCTGACCAACATCTTTTTGGAAAGGTGATGGGGTGGTGGAGGAAGATGAGGAGGAAGCAAGAAGCAGGTGGTGGGTTAGCATGGCAGAGTCAGATTATTTTGGATCCATATCAGTTGCCACAAAAACATTATGGGGGAAGTGGAACTACCATACATCTGAGAGAGAACCACAAAATTAAACTGGCACATGTCTGTTTATACCACCTTTCCCTGCCCTAAACACTTTCTATTTCTGCTGCACAGACATGTAGGGCCCAGTAACTTTCGGATGGCACTTAATCACGTAACAGAGACAGACAGCAGGGAGCTCCCTGGCCTGACAGAACAGGTTAGACTAGTGGCGGGCAAGTACCTGGCCCCACTGTCCTGCAGTTCCAGTGGTGGGGTCTGGGGGCTGCTTTCAACATCCTTGGGAAGTTAGGTCTGTAGCTACCTTCCCTTGTCGCTGCCCTGGCCAGTCAGTGAGGAATGCTTATAAGTGTCCCTTGGTGGGTGGGGGAGTTCCTTTCTGTTTAAACGTTAAGCATTCACAGTGTGTCTTTTATTTTCCTTAGGTCCCTGCACCCAAGCAAGCACTTATTATGGGATCTATTTGTGCACATCACTGCTAATGTGGATAATGGAATAAAGGGAAGGAAGGAGAGAGAGAAAGAGGAAGGAAAAAATCTCTCTCCTTTCTCCATTTTATCTCCATCCCAGACACAGGGCTCAGAAAAGCTCCACGGGCACAGGCAACAATTGAAAGGTCAGGAAGAAAACTGATAACGTAATGTGATTTAAATAGGGAGAAGTAGGCGTCAAATTGAATGATTTGAGGAGCAGGTTAAAATGTTATTACAACATTGAAAAGCATAAAAGGTTATATGGTGACCTCTCCCTCCCACTTCTATTTCACAGCCATCTAGTTCCTCTCCCCCAAGGCAACCAATGTTACTCATCTACTGCATGTCCTTCCAGAGATATTTCATAAGTATACCAACAAATATATAAATATATATAAATTTATTTTAAATGTAAAAGATGTTCCTCTCAGATTAAAGTGACACTTAAATACAAAAAGATGGCAGAAATTAGATTTTAAAACTTTTTCCCAAAATAAAGAGTTTTGACATTCACAGTTGAACTCTTTCATTCATATACATTTAAAAGTTAATTGTTTGCCTCCAGAAATTAAGTTGGGTTCCCGGCACGCAGTGGATACTTAAAAAACTGTTTCCTTAGGTCTTTTTGTCATTCCTTACTCAGAGCCAAGAGGACAATTACTCACTTCCTCTATTGATATAGGAAAATAAAATTTTATTTCTTACTATTAAAAAAGAGAAGTCTTGAAAAATCTTTACTGGATTCACTTGTGTTCAAAGATTTGCTTGACAGTAGTAATCATTTCACTGTGTTTAGCAAAACATGCTGTACATCTTAAATGTGGACACTTTTTTTAAAAGATTGCAAACTGAATTTTAAAATCAATTTAAAATCCCCATCCTGATAGTCTTCAGTATATTATGAATAATTAGCTAACCACACGATATTAGAATTCAGATTAGGGGGTCCTTGAAGCAGAAGACCAAAGATACCTGAGAGAAAGAAGAAAGGTTTTCTCACAATTACAGACAATCCTTAAAATATTAATATTTGCCCTGGGACACCACGTATTGACAAACTAAATTTCTTTATACATTTAAAGTAACACTAATACTCAAAGATATAGAATAAAATTACACATGAATGCTGAGATGATGTTGCCTTTTCTGAACAGTCACCAGATTTGTAACTTGATTGTCACAAAATAAAACAGTACACTGTAGCACAACCAAATGGCTGAAAGATGGAGGTGAGTTTTAAAAGTACATCAGCAAAGGAAAATTCCACCGTTGTCTTTAAGCCTTAAGATAAAGGTGATTGAAGTCTTCAGAACACGGAGTACTCTCCAGAAAAAATATTTTTAAATCACCATTTATTTTCCATCCCTTGAGCATGTATTTACGAATCTGTCAAATCTACCTATTTCACATTGTCCTTTAAAAAACTGGGTCTAGGGCCTATTCAATAAAAATATTTCCATGATTATCTATATAGAAAGGCAATTTTCATTTGTATCATGGCTTGGAGTCAATCACCTGCAATGACCACATGCTTCAATTCGCCCCTGTCTGTCTTCTCAGGAAACCTCCCAACTTACCTGCAGGCCTGGCATCAGTCATTTATCACCAACTGACACAAACCACAGAGCTCAACAACAGTTAGGGGTGGAGGCCAAAGTCTGTGTTGAGACTTGTAATTTGCAATCATCAAACCCAGTTTTAGACCTGGTCCTGTTTCAAGATCTGTGTAGGTCACTACTTCTTCAACACTGGAGGGCTCTTAACAGCGCTTGCCCTTTACACAGTTTGGTGGTGGGCCTCGTGGCCATGAGCCCCAGCTGTCAACAACTAATCAAGAAACTTGAGAAGCAAGGCCCAGAACCAAAGGTAACTTTCACATTAAAGGTTAAGGTTTTTGCTTTCCATTCTCTATCAGGGAACCCTGGAGGGAAACTGAATTAAGAAATCCCTCCAGTATAAGTGATAAAGTAAAATGTTCCCCATTGGGAACAGTCATGAAGTGGCTCGTCTATTCCGTGTGAGGATGGCAACGTGGGCTTGAACACCACTGAAATAATTACATTCAAAAAGAGAATACCTGACTCCACGTTGGAGTCATGGGCAGGGCGAGGGAGAGAGGCAGGGGACATAGAGAAAGAAGGATGACTCAGATTATGGCTGACATCCATGTAATAAAGGGAGATTTGTACTGACCACTGTGCGTGTAACACATTGTGTACCATTAAATCTAGAAAAGGATGGTGGCATCAGCCCACCCCTAACAACAAAAGATGGCTGACTCTAGAGTTAAAACCACGATTTTTCCTCTTCATGCATTCGGAAATGTATCTCAAAGTCACCTCATGTTACCATCTTAGGAATACAAAAGCTCCTCTTTGTTTGAGAAAGCAAGTAACTGGGTATAACTTCCCACTTGGGACATAAGAGCAGGAGGTGTGCCTGTCTCCCCATCTAGGCCTGACATAGTGGTGCCACCCACTCTGGGTCCTGGACCACTGCTACCTTTCACCGTATTTCATGCTCTGACTTTGTCAGTAAGAGACCTGGGGATGTGGACCTCAGAAGTGGGTGCCCACCCGGGCTGACCTTGGATGTGGGGTTCCGAGACCCCCCCACTAAAGTATACCCAAGCAAAGACACTTTCAGACTTCGTCCCCACTCCCTACTGTGGCCTGTCCCCTGAGATGATGCGGTCACCTGGGAAGTCACCCACCTCCAGCCACCACTCAGGCACACACACCCTACCGAGCTCAACTGGGGCGGGAGGTGGTAAGAGGTTTGCAACAGAGACCGAACGGGGCAGACGGAACCGCACCTCCGTCCCTTTCATTTTCTTGGGTTCCCAATGCAGAAACGTGGAAATGGGGTGGAATTGTTTTTAACGGTAGCAGAGAGCCAGAAAATGCAGACAGTTGACCTTGGGAACCAACACCGTCGCAGCGGGAAACGTAAAAGAAACGGAACACGTTGGCCAAGTGAAGGGGGAGCACCGCGCGGCGCCAGGAGGAGCGCGGCGGCCGAGGGGTGTGGAGGGCGCGGGGTGCAACAGGGGTGCTCACCATAGATCATGGCCAGCCCGGTCTCGTGCAGAAAGCGCACTCGGCGGTGCTTGAAGAGCCAGATGGTGAGGATGGTGAGCGTGAGCAGCAGGATGAAGGTGAGCAGGCTCACGCTGTCTTGCCGGTGGCTCTCCTCCGCCTCCTTCTCAGTAGCGAGCTCCTCCATGGCGCTGCTGTCCTCGGCCGCCGCCCCAGAGGAGGCCGAGGCCGCGGCCGCGACTCGTAGCCCCCGACCCAGCAGCAGCGACAGCAGCAACGGCGGCAGCAGCAGCCGCCGCGGCGGCGCCCCGGCAACCCGATCGAAGCCGGGGCGCGCCGCGTCACAAGGCTCCATGGTCCCGGGGCCGCCGGCGCCTCCACCGCGCGGGGACCAGCAGCCCGCGCCGTCGGCGGGTTCTGGCAGTACCGCGGACCTGCCGGAGTGGCTGCGGCCGCCGCAGCTCCTCCTCCTACTCGCTCCGGGCGGGGGCTGCGCCCAGAGCCGCGCGGGGGAGGGGCGCGCGCAGTGCGCAGGATCCCCAAGCACCGCCCCCCGCCCGCGCACCTGTTCGTCCGCTGGCCGCGCCACGCCGCGCCGCCCCGTGGGCCGACCAAGCCACCCCGGCGGGACCGGCTGTCGCCCTCCGGTCCGCGGACTGGCTGCCGACCGCTTGCCTCTCTGCGCTCCTCTCCCAGTCCTGGCGCACCTGGCCAGGCAGTCTCGGGTCGAGGGGCCAGTTCAGAGGCAGTTGCTGCCGCGCTTCCTAAAGGGGACGCCAGAGGTCGCCGGCGCCTAGCGGGAGCATCGGCTTTGAGTGGCTCGCTGTGCGATTTCGAATCCAGTCTCTGGCGCCACCGCGAAGTGTTTAATCTCAAGCCAGTGTGTAGCTGCGCTGGGCCCAGTAAAGTGGGGTCTCTCAGGGAACCGAGCAGCCCTGAAGCCACGTTAGCCCCTACACCTCTCTTTCCTCATCTCTCAGGTTGCCTTCCAGCCCCAGAACCTGCTAGGTTTCATTCAAACCTCTGTTCCCATCTGACTCAAATGTGAGGACTGATAAGGGGTTGGAATTGGGGGAGGGCATTGAAGTATCTATTTCCTCACTTGAGGGAATAGACTGACTGCGTCTGCGCTGTGCTACTAATCTCCTTGGGGAAAAGGGTTGAACCACAAGGAACTGAACGCTTGCCATTCCTGGTAGAAGAGCAGTAGTAGCTGGTCCTAAGGTGATGGTGGTGAGGGGGTCACCCTGATGACCCTTTTATGTTGCTCACCTGGTAACCCAGAGAATCTTTTCATGACTCTTAGGACCAAGCCCAGCTGTAAACAAAATTATGACGTGGACTCTGAAAGATGAAGCCTCTTGGAACAAATTCTCAGGAAAACGAGAATCTTCAATCCACTTTGCTCCTCTGGTCAAGGAAGAAACGAGATCAGATTAACCACTGAATTCCCAGTGCTTAGCACTGGACTCATGTGTTTATTGAACCACTCTGAAATCTCTACCAAAACTATCCATGTTTTTGTTTCCAGGGGAGTTTGCATTTTTTAAGAGGATTCATTGAAGAAGGCAATGCTTAACCAAACAGACTAATAGGGTACAGGTAGCATTAGGTAAGAAAACTCTATGGAGTACTGCAGCCTTCTTGGTTCCCCTGTAGGTGAACACTGCCAAAGCTGCCTAGTGGTTTCTTTACAGCAGGGAAATCTCTTCATCTAGATTTTAGCTAGCCCCTTTCCCAACTCCTCTAGGCAGTCACTCAGCCCCTGCAAACATCCATATACCTTGCAGTTTCACTCAGGTTTCCAAAGAAATTGCAAATACTGAAAACCTGGATGGTCACTGTATTGGTCATAATATTATGCCCCCTTGGGTGCCCAGTACTCAAGGACAGAATTTCCCTCTTCAGTTCACATGGAAGGCAACTCAGGAGCTACCTTAAAAGTACAGACTTCTTACTTTTTGTGGCAGATTGCATTTTTTTTTAATGGCCACAATCATATTTCCAATCCCAGAAACTTGCCATCCCACAACAAGAAGGGGCATCTATGTTCCCACCCCTTGAACTTCAGTGGACCTTTGTGACTGCCTCAAAGATTATAATGTGGTAATGGAGATGATGTGATTTGTGAGGCTGGATCATAAAAGGTAATCTAGCTCCTGCCTGTTTCAGTCACTTTCCACTCACTTTAGAGCCCTGAGTCTATTTAACAAACCTAGCTAGGCCGGGTGCGGTGGCTCATGCCTGTAATCTCAGCATTTTGGGAGGCCGAGGCAGGTGGATCACTTGAGGTCAGGAGTTCAAGACAAGCCTGACCAACATGGCAAAACTATGTCTCTACTAAAAATACAAAAATTAGCCCAGTGTGGCAGCCCATGCCTGTAGTCCCAGCTACTCAGGAGGCAGAGGCAGAAGAATTGCTTGAACCTGAGAAGCGAAAGTTGCAGTGAGCCAAGATGGCACCACTGCACTCCAGCCTGGGTGACATGGTGAGATTCCATCTCAAAAAAAAAAAAAAAAGAGAGAAGAAAAAAGAAATCGAGCTACCTGGAGGCTGCCATACTGAAGAAACCATGTAGAGAGGCCGTGTAGCAATAGAGGCAGATGCCACAGGAGCCCCAACTTTTTGAGTGTTCCCAGCCCAAATGCCATGGAGGTGAATGAATGAGCCTTCAAATCAATTTCTTCCCAGTCACCATTTTACTGTAGACACATGAGAGGCCCCAAGTAAGAACCATGTCGCTGAGCCTAACCAACATCTGCAATTGTAACATAATAAAATGATTGATGTTATTTTAAGCTACTAAGTTTGAGGGTGGTTTATTCCACAGCAATAAATAACCAGAAGAGTATTTATTATGTAAAGTAGTTCCTTTGGTTAGAGTGTGAAAAGACTAGTCCCAATTATTCACAAATATACACCAAAGAAAACCCTCCATTATGTATACATATTTATGTATGAAAACTAACCTATACAATACAGGAGTTCTAATTTCAGCTAACTCAGAATAATCACACCCAACCCATTACCTCCTACTGAATACAGCTATGAAATATAAACAGAATGCATGCAGCAGCTATTTGAGGACTCTAGAAAGTAAATTGTACCACACAAACTGAGGAAAAACAACAGAATTTGAAGCAAAACTGAACTGGCAGTGAATTTACCATTTTTCTCCTCCAGTCTCCGCTAGACTAGACTCAAGGCAGCTCAAAACCCAGAAGGGAGCATCAACATGGACAGAGAAAGCTCTAGGAAAAGCAGAAAATTGGTCTCCTAATATTCAGAGAAAGTAGGAGAAATGTGACATTTTCCTTTTTTTTCTTTTCTCCATTCTCTTGCTTCTTAGCCAATAAGCAATTCCACTGTGGCAGCTGAGTCAACAGTGACAATGGAGAAAGCAGTACCCTCAAACACCCCAAAATGCTGAGGGAGGGGAGAACCTTCCTGTCTGTTTGGAGTAGCTCTGGTCCCAAGACAGTGGGGCCAAACCCTCAATGATATATATTTTTTTCACTCTCTCTGTCCTGATGCTTGGCCCAAGACATGGGCAAAGTTGCAGGAAATACATAACAGAGAGGATTTAACAAAGACCCAGATTTCTGGACAGGTGTGGTGGCTCACCCCTGTAATCCCAACACTTTGGGAGGTGGAGGTGGGAGGACTGGTTGAGGCCAGGAGTTGAAAAACAGCCTGGGCAATGTAGCAAGACCCTGTCTCTACGAAAAATTTAAAAATAAAATGAGCTGGGCATGGTAGTGCTTGCCTATAGTCCTGGCTACTCAAGAGGCTAAGGTGGGAAGATCACTTGAGCTCAGGAGTTTGAGGCTGCAGTGAGCAATGATCATACCACTGCACTCCATACTGGGTGACACAGCAAGACCCTCTCTTTAAATAAATAAATAAATAAATAAATAGCTGAGATTTCTTGCCAATTGATTAAAAGGGGAACTTCAAGGCATTACAAAGTACCAAGGAGACAGTAGAGAGGGCAGGACCTTAGGAAAGGTCCTCATAAAGTTTTTATGAACGCCTAGGTTTATCTCAACCTGCACATGGATCTGATCCTAAACAGCATACCAAAGGCTGTGATAATTGAGCTAAGAGGCAGACCACCACCCTAGCCCTAGACTAGCCACTGGATAAAACACATGTAAGACAGATCTGAATAGCATTGCAAAGTTTTGAAAACTGAATTGACTTTGCAGTTACTATCCACAAAAGGCATGTCGGAACTTACGATCTAAACCCAAGCGTGTCTATTACAAGCTAAAACAAAAATATAAACATTTCACCATAGTATTAAAACAAGATACAACGTCTTATAATATTCAAAATGTCCAGGATACAACCCAAAATTATTCAATACCTAAAAAAACATGAAAATCTTAACTTGAGTGGGAAAAGGCAATTAACAGACACCAATCCTGAGATGATACCAGTGTTGAAAGTATCTGAAAAATATTTTAAAGCAGCTACAATGATGCTCCAAGAAGTAAGGACAAATAATCTTGAAATGAATGCAAAGATAAAAGGCTCAGCACAGGAGTAAAAGGTAAAATAAGAACCAAATTGAAATTTTAGGCCAGGCATGGTGGCTCAGACCCATAATCCCAGCACTTTGGGAGGCTGAGACAGGCAGATCATGAGGTCAGGAGTTTGAGACCAGCCTAGCCAACATGGCAAAACCCCATCTCTACTAAAAATACAAAAATTAGCCAGGCATGGCAGCATGTGCCTGTAATCCCAGCTACTGGGGAGGCTGAGGCAGAAGAATCATTTGAACCCAGAAAGTGGAGGTTGCAGTGAGCAGAGATTGCACCACTTCGCTCCAGCCTGGGTGACAGAGTGAGATTCCATCTCAAAAAAAAAACAAAAGAAAAGAAATTTTATAAGTGAGGAATACAGTAGCTGGAATTTTAAAACTGGATGGACACAATGGCAGAATAGAGATGAAAGAGTCAGTAAATATGAAAATAGATGAACAGAAACTATCCAATATGAATAGCAGAGAAGAAAAACTGAAAAATAAATAGAGTCACAAAGACCTATAGGAGAATAACAAAATATCTAACATTTGTGTCTTTAGAGTTACAGAAGGAGAAAAGAAAGAGTGTGGTACAGAAAAAAAGATGTGAAAATATAATAACTGAAAACATTCCAGATTAAGCAAAAGACACAAACCTGTAGATTCAAGAACCTCAGCGAACCCCAAACAGGATAAACCCAAAGAATCAAAGCATACACACATTATATTCAAACTGCTGAAAAGAAAAACAAGGAAAATATATTTAAAGCAGAAAGATAAAAATGACATATTACATGGCCGGGCGCAGTGGCTCACTCCTGTAATCCCAGCACTTTGGGAGGCCAAGTCAAGCAGATCACCTGAGGTCCAGCGTTCGAGACCAGCCTGATCAACATGGAGAAACCTTGTCTTTACTAAAAATACAAAAAAAATTAGCCAGGAGTAGTGACACATGCCTGTAATTTGATCTACTTG